AAGCCATTTTGATACTATTTGATTCTACATTACTTTAGTTAGAAAGAAAATATCTTGAACTCTATCAACATGTAAATCGTTTAATTAATCCGGAGCGTAGTGAAGGACTATATAATTCCATACACTATTTGACAGCAAGACAGTATTTTGATTTTATTAGTTAACCGATGAGGATTCTGATTGGCTAAACCAATTTCATAAGAAATTAACTTTGCAACACCAAATCCTGAAGTTTCGTAAAGAAATGATCATCTTTTCATATTCTAACCTTGCTCACGTGAATTCTGAAGGTTTTTGATAAAAAAAGATTTCAAGTTTTATTAAATATTTTGGTCTTTAAAGGTTACAAAACCAATATTTTGACTTTGTATAAATGAAGGTATTTTTAAAGTTCCTCCTAGTGAAACTTGGTGGAACTAAGAGATCCTAGAGATCATAATGTATATTAGGGTAGAATAGCAATAAAAGAATGTCTTGATAAAATTTCATGGCAAACAGACGTGATATAATATGACACATCGTAATTATATATGGATTTACTATATAAATAACTTATGTAACTAACAATCATTTAAGAAACTCTGTCATGCTCTATTTGACTCAAATGTTCATATTTCTCCTACTCAATAATTGAGTTGATCAGCACAAATTCTAAATTAGTAAAAATAGCACGTTATTTATTTACGTTTTGTACCGCTTAAACTCAAATAAATTATACTGCTAAACTCAAAATAAATTATACTGCTAAACTAAAATAAAATTGTGAAACCGCTAAAAAAAATTAAAAATTAAAAAAAAAAATTCAGTTGTTCACTTTCAATATCATAGAAATTAGTCGTTTCTCTTAAACCTTCCTTTCTTGTAATCTTATGCAACTCTGAATTCATTGAAGTCTTTCGTAAGTAAACTGCTTAAAATAAATATCATTGAGCGAACGAACTCTTGATACTATAATGAACAAAAGATCGGTAGCAAACTCTCGACTTTCAAGATTTATTTTGGCTTTCGGTAACGTAAGCCCTTAGCTTTTGTGTACTGTTATTGCCCACGCAAGACATAATGGAACCTGAAATCAAGAACACAACTTCTTAGATTTACTTTCTCAGATGCGTTTAATAGGAATGATTAAGACAACATTATTCCCTTCTGGTATTATAATACTAGGACCTTCGTAAAAATTAAATTTTACGAAAACTGCTGCTAATAGTGAAGTAGATCCAGTTTTCACAAATATAATATCGCATTGTCACCGTGGAATTCTTCAACTCAGGGTGATCACGTTATCAAGTCTCTACTTGAAATTTCTAACTGCGGTTTA